AACAGTCTATGTCAAGGGTCATATTAAGGGCTACATATAGACAAATTAAAATTGTTATCCTACTGTTACAGAGTGGGGGCAGTGCCCAAAGTTTAGGAGCAAAGGGCTTGGGGTTCAGGGCGTATGGTGTGGGACTGGGGTTTGGTGTTAAGGGTGTGGGGATTAGGGTTTAAGCTTTGTGGTTTAGTGATCATGCTTAAGGGCTGGGACCAGGGTTTGAGTTTCGGAGTTCAGGGTGTGTTTTTGAAACATTGGAGCTTGGACAACACAAGTGGCAACAGGACAGTAACCACTACAATAACTGCTCACATTTTGAAAGATCCACATACCTAGCCCTCACAGAATTTCCTGTTAGAGATTTTGGCACCTAGCTCTCACAGAAGTTCCCGTGTGCTTTCCCGGGAAAGAGTTTCTCGGCATGATGCCTCCCTTTTTCGGCGCCACACGGTTTAGGGTTGAGGGGCTTAGGGTTTAGGGGTTCAGGGTTTAGAGTTTAGGGCTGGAGCCATACACACAAGGGGGCTGGGCTCTCAGCAATGCTCTTTGAGAACCTGCTGCCAGGCACCGTTTCTTCATTCTCAGTGCGGAGATCCACGGCGACCCTTCAGACGGGGATAATGGACAAGAAAAGGGAAACTACTATACTGGGTTACATACGCACTACTTTACGGATCCCTTCCCTCATTCCTAGCCAACCAACAGCCAGGCTAGGGCTAATTTGGGTTGCTTCATACCTTTGCTTACTGGTTCTTAGCAAGGAAATATGATAAGGGAATAGAATCAAGCATCCCTCTATAACATGTTCCCTTACTCCCAACCAAGAACCAGTGCGTTTGGGACTTTGTTCTTGTCTAGTTTGGGTTACAGGTTAGGGCTTGGGTGAGGGAAAGGATGCTAGATGGATTCCACGCCATGATATGAGCTATAGTCTAAACTCCTAGCATCCCCCTTAGCAAGCCCTATAGTAGTCCCATATATCATCCCTCATGTAATCCCCCTTTAAGGAGTTTCGCAATCATGCTACGTTCTGTGGCCCCACCTTGTGTGGTGCAAGATAATCTAGTCTCCATGGGAGGGGCCCAATTTTGAGTTGCTGCTAAGGCTTTTGCATTTTTCATGAACTTGCACATCGCCTAAGAAGAAGGCATATAGGAAATAATTGGATTTCCTCATCATGGCGAATGAACTCAAATTCCTCAACAGCAATCCTGAGAAAATGTCTCACAATCCGTACGGGTGTAAAGGCTGACGTACATCTTCACTGTCTGACCACCCTAGTAATGGATGCAGCCAGACTATGCAGGCCGGGTGGAAATTTAGGGATTCAGGGAAAGGGCTTTGGGCTAGGAGTTTAGGGTTTAGGGACAGGGATCCAAAAATAGATGAAGCAAGTTTTTCACCACTTCAGGTTCCCAACATACCGTAAGTCCTGGGTATGAGGTGTATAGGGTGTCCTGACATTCACAGAGGGGATACATGTGGATGATACTAGGATGATAGGGGCCCTTATTAGGGATTATGCTATGTATACGGATTATCCTGAATAACTCCCAAATAACTCCAAAATGTCCCAGCAGGCAGTACTGCATATCCGTATTCAGAGGAGGCCTCTATATATCTCCCCTGCACCCATGGTGAACCCTGGTAAATGCCATGACAAGTTCACGATGAAGCATCCGACCCCAAACCCTGAAGCCTAAACCTACATCTCCAGTCCTCGGAGAAGCCAGCAAAGCCAAAACCACATCCACGTGATCGAACATGACAGCTAAAAACAGCGCGGTAAAGCCCACCACATTGGTCATATTCGGCTCGACGCGGTCGCACCTCCAAAGATTTACAGCATATACGAAGGTTCTGAGATTGGACAGCCTGTTTTTGAGCGGGAACACGGCTTTGAGACATGACCCTATTCTGGATGTCTTCCCCGTCGAAACCAGACTTTCAGCAAAATAGCCACGGACCTGTTGCACAAATTGATCCGAAGAAGTTTAAAGCCAAGAAATACGGCTACTTTGGAATGTGCCTCAGCAAGCTTGGTACGACCTGAGCTCGGCCGACTTCTGCAGCGACCATCAGAGCCGTTGCGCCTGAGAGATCGCGCTGGTTGGCATCCACGTTCTCATAGCTCAGGAGAAAGCCTGCAGACTTCGTTTGGCAAACCAAGTAACTGCCTTGGGTACTCCAAGCGGCATCCTAAATCTCAGCTCAAGAACTCCCTAACACCAGCATGCCTGCCACATCGTCAACAATGGCGAAAGGAGGTTCTCTGCATGCATAGTGCCTCGAGAATTGCACCCACGGTCCACAGACCTTTTCCTCTGAAGAGATTCTGCCCCGAGGAGAAACTGAGCTATGCTACTGTTTTGAAGCCACATGGAGTCCCCAACTGCCTCAGATCCTAGACATGCCAGTAAATGCCTTGTAAGGTAAGCTGCAGAGGCGTCACGCCATGGTTGTCTGCAATGTTCGGGTCGGCAGCCCTCTCCATCAAGAGCCGAATAGCCTTTCCAAAACGAGATGAGTTCAAGTGGGAGTGCTGAAGACTTGCCACAAAGGGCCTCTTCCTCAAAGGACCACCTCAGGAGCCTTAATTATTGCGCACCTTTAAGAAGGCTCCTTCGTGACACACATAACTAACTGGTCGGCAGCAAGCCTTGTGCTGACTGAACCATTTGTATGCCAAAGCATCTGTCTAAACCACCCTCACTCAACTGTGTTTGCGCTCATCTAGTTCTTTCTCCAAACCAGGATCGCTTTGTCCAACCAAACCGTCTCACTAGGTTCCAAGAATCCTCACCTAGCGAATATTATCAAACAGCCAGACAAGGACTCTCGCATCTGACAGCAACGCGCCTCCAGGCGTCCCTCGTGAGCTGCAAAACCTGGGTTGCGGCGAACGAACTGAAATTAAGTTATCCTGCAGGGGAAACCCTGCTATTTACGATATCCGTCGCTATTCCGGTAACTTACTAACCATCTCTCAACAACTACCCAGAAACACAAAGCCGTCATGCCGCGGTGATTCTGGGCATTCACGTCTTCAGCTTCCAGTGCCTGGGAAATCAGCTCACTGGTGAGACTTGCGATGCCACATTAAAGATTCGCTAGTTTGCATTGTACTATCGCAGCAGGATGCGGAAACCAGCCCCGTATCAGTCCCAAGTAAACTAGCACTTGCAGTCCTAAATCTAAAACTTGATACTTAGCCGACTTAACCCTTGACCCTAAACCCTTAGTCGTGAAAACCAAAGTCCCCTAGACCCTACATCCTACTCCTTAGTCCCCAATCGCGAAACCCTACTCCCTCAGTCCTTAACTCTATAGCTTCTTGCATGCACTGGCCTGCATCAGCATTTCAATCTGCCCAAAGCGGGCAGCAGCGTGGATCCCGGCCTCTTTGAGGGGTTGAGCACTAAGGCTTGGGGCTATCTGCGGCTTCGCGCTTGCGGCTGTAGGATGGAGGGTTTCGGGTTTCCGGCTTAGGGCTGAGGACCTACAGCTTTGGATTTCCGGTTCTGGGCCTAATTCAAGGCTTGCGGATTCGAATTTTGGAGATCAGGGCTCAGGGATCTAGGCCTTGGCTTGAGAGAAAGCTGTAGAAAAGCCAGTTTTAGTAGGTGCCCTTCTTGAAGAAGCCTCCACTCTCTCCATTTACACCCACACCCCGCGAGCGCGCGCCTCATCCTCGGCAGCCAGCTCATGTGCACGAACTGCCCCTTCTACCCAGTCAGGTGGGTTCGGCTCACTGGTTGGAAACGGCCTTGGAGGGCAGAAGGTGCCCGTTTTTTCGAGAGGGGTCTCAAAAAAAGTGCTCAAATCCTCAAGAGACAGGTACCCCCAAAAACGATCGCCAATTCTGTCGCACCCCCATAAGGAAATCAAAATTTGGCTGTGTTCGGCTCTGTTTCGCAGTCGGTGGATCTCAACATGAGGGCACTCTCGCGCGAGGATACTGGCCATCGGGTTCCCGGCAGTAATCGGATCCTATACTCCCATGTCTGTAAAAGAGCAGGTCTTCACCCCCTCAGCAGATGCCTCAGAATGTTGAGCCTTCTTGTGCGTATGACCAGCGAATCAAGAGACAGTTGAAACCTAAACCTTAAACTGAAAGCCAAGTTAAACCAAGCCCTAAGCCCCCAAACTCCTGGACTCCCAAACCCCTTAACCCTAAAGCCCCCAACCCCTAAATCCTACAACCCCTAAACCCGTAAAACCTTGACCTTTGCAATGATAAATCCTAAACCCTGAACCTAGGCTCCGAGCCCCCTGCCAAAGCTCCACGTCCTTCAGCAACTTTGCGCTGCCGTACAGCGCATCCTGCTGGGTCTCCTGAGGCTTAGGGTGTTCGGGTGTGAGGGTTAAGGGTTAAGGGTTTGGGTTTAGGGTTTAGGGTTAGGGTTTAGGGTTAGGATTTAGGGTTTAGGGTTATGATTTAGGGTTTAAGGCTAAGGGTTATTTTGTTCTTTCTTTTTCGGACCTTTTCTCCATAGCACGACTTGGTTCCATAGAGACGCCTTCCCAGCACGGCCCCCAAGTCCCTCCCCAACCACGCTACAGGCCAGGATCAGGATGGAAAAGCAAAACATTCTAGACCACTACTGCAGCCAATGACGTAAGTCAGTCTGTCTACGCCCTTCAGTTGTGTTCGTTCCTGCAAAGACCCCCTCATGCTTGTTACCAGCAGACTCAGCAGAACCTTCCATCTGCGTTTCGGGCAGCACTTGCTCATCCGCTGAATCCATCATCTCCATCAGGCCGCCAGTCTCTCCCTCGTTGATGCCCACTTCCTTTGCGTCCCTGCCATCTGCCATCTCTTCCACATCCATTTCTCTATTCACGCTAGGGTTTAGGGTTAGAATTTAGGGTTTGGGGAGTTTGGGGAGTTTGGGGATTTGTTGCTGGTGTAGGCTTTGTAAGGATCGCGGCTTGGGGATTTAGAAGTTGAGTACGCAGGAGCGAATGGAATCGCAACTCCAATCTCCAGCCTAGTGCGCTTCGCTAGGGTAGCACTGAAAGTATGTCCCAAAGAATCTGACTTAAAGTTGCAATCAGTAATCTATGTATTGGGATAATGGAACAGAAAATGGAAACTACTATAAAGGGTTTAGGGTTTGGGGTATAGGGTTTTGGGGTCAGGGTTTAGGGTTCAGGGTGTAGGTTTGGGGTTATATTGGGATAATGGAGAAGAAAATGAAAACTACTATATAATATATAGGGGTTATATAGGGATACTGGAAAAGAGAACGGTAGCTACTCCACAGGTGTCTTGCCAAGAGGGGGGACACGCCTATATGTTGTTACGAGGGCTAAACATGACTGAAGTGCTTTGTGGCGATGCGTTCTACAGGAGGAAACAAAGGTGTTGTTCTTGCAATACTGTCATGACAGAATGAACCAGGTCCAACACAAAAAACAGCAAGAAAGATCAGGGAGACTAAGTATGTAGGTTCATAGTGGAGACAGTTATGGTTACTATGTGGGTTATGGGGGGAACATGTGTTTGTACAAACCACCGGCCGCAAAGAGAAAACAAAATGGAGGGTCCGTGGTCCACTTCTAGGATTGTCAGCTTTGCTGTACTTACGGTACTAGTTTTCCAGCAAGAAATCGTGCTTTCCCATTACGACCCCAGACCCTACATCTGTTTTAGGCTTCCTGGCCACCCGGTCCTCCAGCAACTGCTGGAGGATTGCTTGGATCCGATTCCACCGGTGCTTGCGGTGCCAAGCCTGAAGCCGGAGCCCCTTTGGGATTACAGTTTTGTTTCTTTTTTTCCAGGACTCCTTTCAATCCTTGGGCTTAGGGTTTAGGGCTTTAGGTTCAGAATTTTGGGCTTACGGCATAGGACTTAGCGTGGCGACAATAGAACATCGGATGATCAAACTGATACACCTCAGAGGCATCCCCTGCAGGCAGGGAAGAGGCATGTGAACCCTGAAAACAGGCAAGCAGTTCCGCACCAGATCCTAAACCCTACACCTTAAGCCCTACACCCTAGACCCTAAAGGCTAAACCCCAAGACCCCAAAGCCCATACCCACCGAAGAAGCTTGAGGCTCCAAGACTTGAGGCTATGATGCGATGCTCTGACAGCTACTAGATTCCTGGGAGGATCAAAGTAGAATCCCCAATATGGTATCTTATACTCATATTGGGCAAATTTCTAGGAACCCTGAAGGGGGATCTACTTTCTAGATCTGCCCAGGGGTCTGGGACCCTAAACCCTAAACCCGAAGTAGTAGTTGACATTTTTCTTTTCCATTATCCCTATATAACCCAAATATACTATATAGCAGTTTCCATTTTCTTTTCCATTATCCCAAAATGACCCCAACCCTACACCCTGAACCCTAAACCCAGAACCCAAAATCCTATACCCTAAACCCATTATAGTAGTTTCCATTTTCTTTTCCATTATCCGCACATAAAGGGGATGGTCGGCTTCTTGAAGTTCTTTGGAACTTTCCTTCATGCGCCTCGACGAAGTCCTTGTTGGGAAAATAATCACCATGAACATCCAGGACCTGGGCAGAAGCAGCCCAATTTGGGGCTTAGGGTTGAGGGTTTAGGGGTTCAGGGTTCAAGGTTTAGGGTTTAGAGCGCAGGGTTCAAGGTTTAGGGTTTAGGGTTCAGGGTTCAAGGTCTAGGGTTAAGGGTTTAGGGTTTGAGGTTTTGGGGTTTAGGTGGCAAACAACTCCCAGCTGCAGTTGATCTTGCCATACGTGGGGAGAAGGCTGCTTTGGTCCAACTACTGGATACTAGTCTCTCTTTGGCTCCTAAGAGCAAGACTCAATGGAATCACATCCGCCAGTGGAAATTTAGCAGATTAAGCATCTCGATGGTGGGACTCATTTGGAACCATCGGGCCCAAAGAAATAACGTTGGACAAAAACAAAAGCATTCTGGACCTGTCACTAAACTTGGCAGTCAGGGTGTCACATGAGCCATAATCTAAACTCCTAGCATCCCCCCCAAGAACCCCTACAGTAGTCCCCTGCGTAATCCCCTAAATAATCCCCCTTTAAGGAATTTAGAATATGCCTCAGGTCCCCTTAGTAACCCCTATAATACTCCCTTATGTGATCCTCTATATGATCCCCTGCATATCCCCCCATTAAGGAGTTTGGACCCCAAAACTCTAAACCTTATGTAGTCCTTTCTATAACCCCCTATAGAACCCTACGGTGGATGGTAAAAATCCTGCATGACCCAGCAAGCCAGCTAAGGCAGCGAGGATGAAAGACTCTCCACGCCCCTCAATCTCAATGTTGGCTAGAGGCCACTGGGTCATGCAGGATTTCCATCATTCGCACACGCCCTGTTTGCTCTGCCAAAGGGACCAATATTAAAATTAGGGGGCTATGGGGACGCCGGCCTGTCTGTAAAATTCGATGCAGGATTTTTAGTATCAACAGTATATAACCCCCATGGCTGAGGTCCCGACATGGGGATGCGAATCGCCGCCGAAACCGCAGCGTTCGAAGCAGACCCAGCAAAATCCTACAGTAAACTGCGCGGCTACTCTACTAAGGGTATGTAGAGGGTAACTATACAGGGGTATATAGGGGGATATAAGGTTCAGGGTTAAGGGTAAAGGAACTTAATTTAACTTACTATATTGGGAAACCCTATAATCATATACCCAAAAATGGAGACTTAATGCAAGGCCCTTAACAACAACCCAGTAAAGGCTTGCCCCAAGCAACTGGAACTGAGCCATGGGAAACATACTACCATGCTTGAAAGCTGCGTGGAGGATAACGTTGAGAATCATCCAATTGGTTAAAGATAACATCTCAAAATACTCTCAACAGAATCCCTAAAGTGTTTAGGGTTCAATGACCCTAAATCCTAAACCCAAATCCCTAATCCCCAAACCCCAAAACCCGAAACAAATAGAAAAACTCAACCCCTGAACCCCTAAAGCCTCAAAACCTTTTAGAACCCTATAGTCCCCCTTAAGTAGATAGAATATGGCTTTGGGTATGTTATTATAAGATCCCTATATATCCCATATTCTATCTACTTAAGGGGGACTATAATCCCTGATCATCCCCATCCCTAAGTTAAGGTCCTTCCTCGCAGGCTCGGCAGCTCATAGCAACGCAACCATCTGGATCAGGGTCCTTAACAAACAACAGAAAGTTGGGGTTTGGGGGTTTTGGGGTTTTGGGGGCTTGGGGTTACACCCTTTAGGGATTGAGTGTCTCCAAATTTGGCCCCTCTAAGGAGACTATGGACATTCGTTGAAGTTGCAGGGTTTGGTTTGAGGACAGGGGGGTTGAAGGAACCCGATGAGTAGAAGAGAATTATGAGAGGAGCCTCGGCTCCCTGCAAGGCATGATGTTACGGTTTAGGGTTTAGGGTTTAGGGTTTTTCTCAGCAGCATCATGAAAACAGCACGTGGCGAAGCCGGTCGCCCGCATCCGCACAGTTCCGGGAAGTAAGTGCGGACAAGCTGGGAAGACATGGGAATTCCTCAAAGTTACAGCTTGTATGGATGCCCCCAATTGGTCATGATCCGGAATTCAAACCTAAGAGGAAGATCCATGATCTTGAAAAACCTCCACCGAAAGAAGTACCAGAGTAAAATCTGGGTCTCCAGGAGAGCTCGGCAGTCTGGATTGGGACATTCCAAATTCAGAGATTGCGCCACCTGCCGAACTGACAGCTGTCCCTGCCTGCACAGGCCTGTACCCTGAAGGGTCCCTAGAATCCCCATGGAAGGGCAAAAGGCTCAAGTTTGGGGCCCATATTTCTAACCTTAACCTACATGCGCCAGTTATGTAAAGGTTACGATGGAACAACCTTCCCAGGTACTCAGGTTTCTACACCGCTGCCAGGAGAATATTTGCTGCCAGTACTAGAACACAGCTCTGTCATCAACCTGGGCTGCTGTTCAAATAACTTAAACGGTGGTTTCATAAAATAATGGGTACCATGTTGGGGGTCACTATTATAAGGACTATAGTATTTTGGGGTCTATATTGGGGTCCCCCTATTTTGGGAAACTACCAAATTAAGTCACCATGAAGGGTATATATAATATATAACAGTTTCCCAATATTTTCTAAATTTAATTAATGTTCCTTGAGAGCAACCCAGCAACATGGATGAAGACGGGCAGTGCCACTACCGTGACAAGATTTACCACGGAGAAGGGTTTACATGAGTATGGAGGCCTTGTAAACTCAGGCCTTTATGGATGTATAGAGATTCTAAAGGCTTCTAATTGAGGATGATTAGAATGCAAAACTGCTTTCAAACCTATCACTGATAAACCCTGTAAATCCCAGTTTCCATGCTGTTCTCCATGTTCTTGTCCATTTGATTCTCCATTTATGGGGCAATGTCTCCTCAGATATCCCTGTATACCCCCTGTGGAATCCCTATGCCCCCTTTAATATAGACCCTTTTTCTTGGGGTAATGATGAACCCTGTGAAGGGGATGCTGGCCTCCATTGCAAACAGTCTCGGGCTCAGGTGTTGCCTCAACTTCATCCTTGGCTGACGTTGACCTCGCCTAGCAAGACCTAAAAAAGCAATAGATTCGTCCCATTCAATGATCACACAACAACAATACTGGGAATATGTATTCTCAGGGGGCGGGCGGGGAGATTTCATTTGCTCAAGAAAAAGCTGAAACTTGTTTAGCCAAAGATCCGCTCTGGGTCGTATTGAAAGAGGATATGATGCTCGCCCTCGCCACACTGGAGCCAGGTGAAGGGAAGAACGTCTTTCGTTCTACGAGCTTCATGCGGATCGTCGTGCTCTGAGGCGCGGTAATAACTGACAACTTGAACTGACCTGCACAGGAAAGAGTCAGGGAAGTTGGAGGGTTTCTCAGAATCAGGGCGACCCCACGAAGACATTAGCTTAAAACAGGAGATTAAAGGGGCTGCGCTTGAAGACTCAAAAGGGGATGGCTTCAGAAACAATACAGAGCCGAAGAATCTGCAGAACTCAGACAATGGGCCTTGTAACCAAATCTTCAACCAGCACATTCATCTCAGCTTCAGCGCTGTCATCCTCCTTGCAGCAACTGCTGCTGGATTAAGCTTTTGGGTTTGGGGTTGTCGACAAACTTCCCACTCGGAGCACAGAGATGTGCATTTTCCTGAAAAGCTTCAAATACCATCTTCCCCGCTACGCCTGGCGACCCTGTCTTCTACATTCACAGGGTGTTCATGACCAGAAGCGTCATGTTCCATTTGATGCTCCATGTTGTTTCGATTTGATTATTCATTATTCCTATAATACCCCTATATGACCACAATATAACTATGCAATCCCTATATAGCCTCTATAGCCGCCCCTATATGAGCCCTGAACTAAATTTGTAGTATATACCTTACTAGGCCCCCCAAAATCCTATATAGCCGCCTATATAGGTCCCCCCCAACCTAAATTTAGTCCGTAGCTCATATAAGTGGTTGTCAAAATTATGGTCCCTTTTTGGGTCCCTATTATAATACGGCACCTAATATTTAGGGTACCCAAAAAGGGACCATAATTTTGACAACCACCCATATCAATATCTGCACAGCCAGCGCCTGCACGGCTTCCAAGGGCTGCGGGTCCGTTGCTTCGACGAAGCGCCGCAGCGTCGTCCCGCCAAGACGCTGCTGGACCTGCTGCCCACTCAAACTTAGGCTTTTGGGGTTTAGGGTTTAGGGTTTAGGGTTTTTGGGGTTATATAGGGATAATGGAAAAGAAAATGGAAACTACCATAATGGGTTTAGGGTTTAGGGTTTAGGGTTTTGGGTTCAGGGTTTAGGGTTCAGGGTGTAGGTTTGGGGTTATATAGGGAAAATGGAAAAGAAAATGGACACTACTACAGTATATGATAATAGGGTATGTTTTTGTTTTTTAGGATTTAGGATTCAGGGTTTAGTGTTTTTTTTTGGCACGGCCTTTTCCGCCTGTTAGGGTTTAAGATTTAGGGTTTGGGTTTAGGGGTTAGGGGTTGAGGAGTAGAAAGGTTCCTTTAAAAGGGAATGTAGGGAATCTATAGTGGTATTATAGGAAGAATGGATAATCAAAAGGAAAGACAATGGGAAATGAAATGGAATCTACAGTTTAGGTTTTCGAGTCTACGTAGAGTTTGGGGTGGGGATACATCCAAATGGGGGGGTCTCTAAAAGATGTTAGGGATGTATGGAGTATGCAGGAGGATTGTGTCTCATTACGGTACAGAATGTGTTGCGAAACTCCCATATAACTTTGGGCGGCATGGGTGTCCATGGAGACTAAAACCACAGGTGAAAAGCTAAAAGAAATCATACTATGATTGTTGGAGAGGAAAATCGTGCAGCATGGGTGTTGTGCGAATCTCAGCTTCTGAGCAGTCGTTCCATTCTCACCAATCTCTGAAGGAAAGCCGGACCGAGGCATGGCCATAGCTTTAAAGAACAATTTCTCATGGTACCTTTCATCAATTCAAACAAACATGGAACCCTGTACAACACCTGATAAAAGGCCGGAAATTATCGGGGGGCCCTTGGGGAATTCCATCTTAGTTCGGGACATAATCAACCGACAGCGCAGTGCCCGTACTAACATTCGTCATGACATATCTAAGACCATGATCAGAACTGCGGTGATACGGCCCATCTTGTAGCAACAAGATATTGACACAAGAAATCAAGACACTTTTGGAAACCTGTGCTTGCTCGTATATGGTAGTTTCCAAAAAGAAGAGGGCCCCAATATAGACCCCCCAAACACTAAAATCTTTACTTTAAGGAACCCCACATGGGTAGCTGTGTTTGTGGCAAACCCTAACCCCTAAACCTTAAACGACGCTATATAACATCTATATAACCACCATGTCCCCATTTTCATGGTACCCCGTTTAAGTCCCCGCCCAAACAAAAAAGTTCCCGGCCTGGTCCCGAGGGAAGACGTGGGGCGGTGAGTCGGAAGATGCACCCGCAGCGCAGGCGGGACAGCTGATGCCTCCTGGCTCAACTCTTATTTGATTTAGGTGGGGTATAGGGGTAATAACTACATGTATAGAGGTCCCTTCAAAGGGTAGAGGTTTAATGAGATACGAGGGGGATGGGACAGCGATATTGGGGGAGCGCTAGAAATCAGTAAGTAAAATGCATACATCTTTGTTTGTTTGGATTTGTCACGAGGGAAAGCCCCAGCTTTCAGTTTCCATTGTATCTTCCATTATCCCAATATCAACCCCAATATAACCCCAATGACAGTCCTTTCAAACGCCGCAGCTCTGAGGTGCCAATAAGGCTACAAACATAGGGCTCCAAGCAGTCGCAGCAAAGCAGCGGATTCTTGTGCTTAAGCGGGCAAAGGAGCCCTTTGCCCTTCTCCGAAGGTTCCAGGCACACGCAGCAAAGCGCCTCCAGAGATCCCTGGAAAGCCCAGCAGGCTCTCAGCACATTGCGCAGGAGCGCCCAGCGCGTCGTCTGCTGTGCCAGTGGCTGTGACTGCTCTGCTGTATCGTACTCAATCAAAACGTGAGCCAGCCTTGTTACCATACCTTGGAGGTTTGGGTTGCTCCTGTTGCGGATGTCTCGGCACTGGTCCGCCATCTCCCGAATGAGCTCCGCCACCTCCTGCGGCCAGCCCAAGGCCACTGAAGGCTGCGAAGCCGTCTCGGAAAGCTCCAAGGAACCTTCTAAGGAGAAGGGTGAAGCCAGCAGAAAGTGAAGAACCTTGCCAAACTGCTCCAGATCCCAGGAGTTGTCATGGAGCTCCCGTGCCCCTGGGCCCAACATGCAGAGCCTGCAGAGCCCCACTCCCATCAACTCAGCGCGGCCATCAGCAGAGACACCTATAGATTCCTCCGGCAGGTGCTGGAGGTCCCCATTTCCAGTAGGTCGCCAGTATGACTCCTCCAAAGAGTGCAGGGTCCAGAGGGCAGTGGCCACTCCATGGCCGATAGTGAGCCTTGTGCGCCAGTCCAGCTGCCTGACACAGCTGGCCAAAGTTCCGCAGTCTGGAGCAGCATAGAAAAGCCTGGTGCATAGGGTTTAGGGTCTAGGGCTCCTTGCCCACATCTTTCTGCTTGGAACATCTTGGAGCTGACATGCTCTGGCCCTCCTTGGGCATTCCCAACCTCCCCATTTCTATAGAAGTTTCCATCTTACTTTCCATGATCCCAATATAAACCCCAATACAACCCCTATATGACCTCTATATACCCCCAATACAACCCCTATATAACCTCTATATAAACCCAATCTAACCCCTACGTAACCGCCGAGGTTCCGCATCTCCCTTTCCACCACCGAGGAGCCAATCGGTCCGGAGATCAAGCTTGCCTGCAAGAGTGGCAAAAGACAAAGATATGGGGAGATATAGGGGTTATATTGGGACAATGGAAAAGAAAATGGAAACTACTATTTTGGGTTTAGGGTTTTAGGGGGGATGGGAGGTGTGGAGGGGGGGGGGGATATAGGGGTTATATGGGGAATATATCATATTCGGACTATAGGGTTATGTGGGGTTTAGGGTTTAGGATTACCTTCTGTTTGAAAACCACATTAGGCATTTCTTGTATGTCTTCTCCACTGCTCTCAGAATTTGTTTAACCAAATAAAACTCCTCAAAGCAACATTGCAAGTAGCTCCCCCACACCAAATCCCATGAATCCTAAGCCCTAAAACGGGAGTTTCCACTATTTATATAAAAATGTGTGGAAAATATTGACCCTAAACCCTAATAAACCCTAAGCCCTGAACCCCTAAACCTAGGTTTTAAGGTGTACAAGTCCTGGGGAAGCCATGGATTCTGGGCCTGGGGCAAGCCGTCACAAGCTCTAGGAGCTCCATGCTCTGAAATTGAGAACCTCAAGGATTTAGGGTTTTGGGGTTTAACGCAGTCGGATTGTATTGCTCAAATAAATACTATACCCAAAATAAGGAAATATAATCTTACTCTATATTACTATATTGGGTACCATAGTATCCCCAAACGAAATACTACTCAAATGACAAGCGAGCGAGCTTCTTTTGCTGGTCTCCTCTTTGGGTCCCTATGATAATGATGAATCATCATATTGGGGTATATGTTAGGGCCTTTCATTTATGGAAACGCCCAGACTGTGGACTTCAAATTTGGGATTTCCTTTGGCAGCTGAAATGTCCAATATCTACCCTAAACCCTAAGCCCTAACCCTAAACCCTACAGGGATAATGGAAAAAGAAAATGGAAACTTAGGATGGTGCAAGATCTCATCCATCAACAATATTAGCCAACACAGAAACAATGGAGTGAAACCATCTCGGGGACCTAAAGGAGTGCATTAACGTGGGATAGTAACCCCCCAAAAAAGGGACCCTTGGTTTTCGGAAACCCCAACCCTCTTACTGTCTACTGCTTTACAACCCCACTTTCCATTGCATGGTCCATTGTCCTTTTCATTTGATTTTCCATTCTCAGCGTAATACATCCTTATATACCAGAACCCCAGAACCCTATACATGCGCATCCACCCTGACCTACGACTCATATGAGCCATAGTCGTAACTCCTAGTATTCCCCTTGATAACCCTTATAGTAATCCCCTTTATAATCCCTTATATAACCCCTCTGAAGGAGTTTAGACCATAGCTCATAAAACCCTAATCCCTATTAACTACCCTATAATCCCAGTCTCCATTTCATTGTCCATTTTCTTTTCCGCTTGATTCTCCATTATATTAGGGGTAAACCCTCAACCCAAGACCCATAAATCCGGCCCTATGATAATCCACGGAGCCCCACAAGCTGCGAAGCAAACTTGCAGCGGTGGCAGAGGAACTGCAGTCGCGTCAGCTCGGCGTGGCTCAAACCTTGACAGCATGAACTTATATAAACTAAGTTACGTAGTAATTTTCTTGGCTTTATATATCCTTATTAAAGAAGCTTAGATTAAGTTGCTTTGGTAAGGATACATACTCAATAGTAGGGTTTCCTTATGATAGTAGCTTCGTTCAAATTCCTTAACAGCAGCCAAGACAATTCCCGTTGTGTAGTGGGCAGGTAAGTACGCCCATATTAGAAGGCTCAAATTTTGGTCGTAGAACGGCGATGGAAGTTGCATGAGGTTTATGTCGGCCTCCTATAAAGGCGAGTACTGAGAACCTGCATGAAACTCTCCTTGATTGTGGACGCAGAAGGATTGGATTGTGCAGAAACCTTTCAGCCTGAAGCTGCATTCAGGCTTCAAAAGCTACCCAGTCCCATGGCTGACCCCAAGCCCCTTACAACCTGGACTTATTGCATTCTACAATACCAACATCCTCCATGAAATCAGTATCAAGACTATGAGTCGCCCTGGCTCCAATAGCCATTCCAAGACCTGTGCTCTCAAGGTATGCCTAGGGGGTGAGGCAACAGAATGTGAGCTATACTCGCAACCGCTTGTATTTTTATTAGTATTCGTATAATGATCCCCTGTATAACGCCGTTTGAGGAGTTTAGACTATAGCTCATCTGAGCGTTGCGGCTGAGCCATGGGAGCATTAACTTCCGCCAGTAGCTTTATCACTATCCAGGATTGCAACTGCGAAAGTACCACATATGGGTATATGGTAAATCATGGGATTTCCTTACTATTGTTGTTTTAGTTGAGTTCCGTAACAGCAACTTCGCATCATGAAGCCCACTACTGTTTTGCTGACAAGTAGCAGGGCACCTTTTTCAGGGTGACAGGCACTTCACCTCCCAAGCGATTCTGCTGGAGTTTCATCAGTGACTCTGGGTTAGCCGCCTTTGGAAGCTGCCTGGGTAACTGGCAATCGACTGTGAGATTCCTAAGCTTCAATGGATATATATACTATAGTATACTATGGTATAATATATGGGCCAAAACTTTGCCAGCCTTGCAGTTTCCAGGGGCAGGGCAGCGAGCTGGGCTCAGCCAGCCATGGCACTTCTGTAAGCAGAGCCGGGGATCGCGGCCTGCCGTGTGAGCCCCCGTACCACACAAGAGACTGATTCTTCACATTCGTCACATTTTCCTCCATCCTGCCTGCGACACGGTCTGTGGCCGGGGCGGGGGGCAGACCTCCAATGATCTGCTCCACAGCCCCTGCACTACTCTGGACATGGTGCAATAGATAAGCCCTCTGAGGTAAAGACACGCTTCTGTTCAACACAATGGCCACTGCTTGAGCTCTTGCGTCGGTGACCGTCCGCCGCAGGCCCGGGGGAGGGAGAGCCATGGCATCACTTGCTAGCGCAATCCTGCGACACAACAAAAAAGGCGGCCCAATGAAGTTTCTCAAGCTATCTGGGGGTTCCCAAAATTAGGGGTTCCCATAAAAAGGATTATAGTATTTTAGGGTCTATATTGGGAAACTACCATGTCCACACAGGCAACGGCATCAACATGAACGCTATCTACATACCCTTAGAACTCATGACAGTAATTGCCGGAAGCAGACAGCGGCATGAATCACCGATGACACTGCATTGCAGATGCAAAGGGGCCTGCCTCGTGATGCTTTACTCTGTCTAGCACAGTTTCACGCAGATTCCCAGTACTGTAATGTTTAAGAATGGCAGATACCAGCCAGGGGATGACGCGAACTGGTTCGACCTCTCTTCCTAAAGAACCATGCAGCATGTACCAGCCAAGCACGCCCTTGGGCCACGGCCTTCCCATTTTCCGTAGTACTTCTCTGGTACCTCCAGGGCGAAGATCTTGCTTCTTGCTACCAGGGAATCAAAAAATGAGTTATAAGGGCAGCTACCAGGAAGGCAAAAGTTTTATATAGGGATCACTTCTTGCACGTCCTACCCGCATGATGCAAGAACCAGCTGACTGAAGGAACGCAGGAAAAGCCAATCACATTGAGTAATCACGATCAGCAAGCGCCAGGAAGCACAGCCAAGGGGGGCACGTGCAATCTCTCAAAATTCACATTCCATCTAGCATTCTCGTCTGTATATGGAGCCGCCGCCGCAAGAGTGACCTTAAGAAAGGTCGAGCAGAAGCTGCCAAATGAAAACAGTGGGAACAGCGAATGCACACGAAAATGGCCGTAAAATGCAGGTGAAGGCACTATAACCGCAAGTGCCGCTAGCTTCTGCGGCATGTCCATCTGCGCAGCAACAGGACAAGCGGCGGTATTCTGGTCCAACATGGTAGCCGAAGGACAAGAATGACAAAAGCTGCGTTTAGATCACATCTGGAAATGTTTTGGAGATCTTTGAAACGTGCCTTGCAGCAATCAAGGGAAAAAAGGATGCTGGTCAAACCGTAGTGCAAGTCCTGCATCAGATGCATGCGTGGGTTGACTTGTGAATCCAAGCATGTTGCGGATCCTGCAGTAGCATACAGCAACATGCAGCACACTGCATGGGAGCGTAACCTTGCCGAAAACACCCATGCACATCCTGTCCTGCAAAGCTCGACAAACAGGCAGCGAATCACGCAACTACAAAGTTGCAACAACATGAATTCTGACTTTGAGCCCAGCTCGCGAAGAGCATACAACATGCAAAATTCTTTGACGATGTGTGTGCAGCACAAACATGCAGCTCATTCATCATGTGTTGCTCGTGTTGCTCTCGGCCGGACGCATGCAAAACACTCTCATGCAATGAGCGGAGTTCGCACACGGCACTTTTTCGAAAGCATTTGCTACCTGAACATTGCCAGCTTTGGATTCTGACTCCTCGAGAAAAGCAGGACATTCACTAGATTTCCAGCGACCGAAATGCCAGCCTGAAAACAAACCGGATCTTGGGCCCTAAATTTTGGCGGACTGCAGACCAAGCTGCTCTTTGTTCGTGTTTCTACGGGCGTGCTGAAGGGTGTTAAGCCGCAACTGGGCCTGGGTTTATGCCTGGGGGCTGATTTGGGGCATGGGTGACCACAACACCTGACCTGGTGACAACAATGAAGCACCGAAGCTACGGGACAAGCTATCCTTGACTGATGGGTTTGCTGGAAGAGCCGGGGCTCCGGGCTTGTGCTC